TCTCTTCACACTGGCCAAGCTCCCCCCTCCTTGGCTGCTGGAGGGGAACTGCTCTCCTGGCCTTATGCTTGGGCTTAAGAAGGGGCCAAGCCCTGCCCCTTCCTGTCAGCTGATTCCCTTGGTTCTCCTAGAAACCAACAACTGTGCTGCCCTGGTGACTGGCAGTTGAGCCTCCCCCTTCTCACCACTAGGGGTCTCTCCTGAGCCATTTCTGCTTTTAGGCGCAGGGCACCCGAGTGCTCTGCGACAGCATCCTTCACATAAAATTTTCAAAGCAATTTACCCATGTAAACTTTACAACACCTTTTTCCTTTTGCAAATTTGTAAGAAACAGTGTTAAGTGCCTAAGAACACATGCTGGGCAAGGATTATTGCTTAGGAAGCACTATGTTGTAAGTTACTGCTTTTGGAATAGACACACTGATACAATCACTCATCAACTTTTTCAGTTAAATCACTCTAAAAGTCTCCAGTATGTATTCAGGGAAGGCAACTGAACTTAAAATGTGGGAATAGCCATAAAAGTTACTTCGAAACAGCTGCATAGGGATGTAGCTGGGCGGCTGAAGCACATGGACAGTGATGACTTCCAGTTGCCACATGATAGCATTAGTGATCACATAGCTGCCAGCAACAATTGCTTTTTTGAACACCTCCCCACCACCACCACACACACAAATCAGCACCCAGGGCATTTGCCACATTCACCCTGCCCTAGTTACACCACTGCTTTAAAAATTACTCCTTGAACAGCAGTTACAGACATTTTTCACTACATTTTACTCCTATTAACGTGTCAGAATACATATAGCTGTAGCACAGTGAGCTAGACTGCATTCTCGTTCATGCATCATCAATGGAATTATTTACAAGAAGCTTGACTACTCTGGCCCTAGTCCAGCAAGGCTCTTAAACATGTGCTTAACTGTAAGCATGTGCATATTCTCATTGACTTCACTATCAGTGTTGCTGGAGTGAGTCCAAAGTGCTCAACATCTTGCATAAGCCTGCCCTAAAATACAATTTCAGAATTCATGCAATCTGCGTGGTGATATGAGAGTCCAAAAGAACTCAGCTTGGTTTTCGCATTGCAGGATGAAATTGCAAAGCTGAGCCTTGAGGGGTAGGGTAAGAGAAAGGTGTCTTTTTGTGCATTAATTGAGCAGCTCTAATCTGAGATTTCTTGGCGCACAAAGATAGAACTCTCATAATGACATTTTTATAATTTCACTTTACACAGTAGAATCACAAAAGCTCTTAAAATCTATCTTTCAGTGTTTCATCTTACCTCATAGACCTAACCACCATAAATAGTTTTCTTAACACTTTACCTTCAGCTAGTCTAAAAAAATAAAGAACTTCATAAATTAAAGAAAAGAACAGTGTAAATTTAAGTTCTTTTGTTCATAGGAGTTATACAGATTTCTATCATATCTAAAAGTTGGATATCTAGATATTAGAAAATTAGCATCTCTCAAGTCAATAATTCATCCATTATGACATACCTTATTAGTCCACGATACATAATATAATCACACCATCTGTCATGATCTGTATTATCTATATCCTGCAGGGGAAAAGAAATCAAACAAATGAAGAAAAATGTTTCTTCAAAGACAGTTTATATTAGTATCATAACCCATGGGTAAACATAGTGCAAAGAAAGAAAAAGGTCATATTAGATCTAGAGAGGTAAATGAAAGAAGACTCATTTTTAAGGCATTTTTAAGATTTTAAACTACAGTAATATTTACTAGCAGGTAAGTGAAAGATAGAATTAATTTTAAAACAAGCTGTGTGAGTTTTTGAGCTTATAAACTGTATTTTTAATTCAGTTAATTTTTATACATAGTAGTAGTAATTCAAGATTACCAAAACATTCCCATTTTCAATTAACTCTGTGTAATCTCTGGATCCAGGAGCTGAAGTGATATATCCAAGAAATACAACCTGCTTAGAGCTAGCCCTTAACAGCTTTGCAACAGCTCTGGCCTGGAGTTTTCTGTCCAAGTCCTCTCTGGGGAAAAAAAAAAAAGGTATATTTTAAAAAGAATATTCTGGCCCTTAAAAAAAAGAACACTATTGCACAGAAAACCACCTCTGGGCTTAACACATACATACCTGTGTAACTGCGTACAACAAAAAATTACAATGATAGGTTGCTTTTATATTTTATATTTTTTCAGCGCTTCATTTTTTCAGTGCATATAAAACTGGAGTTCCTCTCACTTAAGTACTTTCCATGAACACCACGTTTTTTATACGGTGCTCATCTGCAGGTATTATATTTGCTGTGGTCAGTCTGTTTACATTACAGGTGTAGCTATGCCAGCCCACAATTGCCTCACATGTTTATGGATGTCCACAGTTTAACATGATTTCTGTTATGGACAGAACACTGTCTTAGAATTTTGCTATGGAATCACAGTATAGTGTAACTTACATGAATTCATTTTCCTAATACCACTCAAACACTATGCCACCCCAGAAACACTACTGACAAAAATGGCCACCCCAAAACACCTCAGGCAATTGTGGTTTGACAGTATGAGACTTACAGTGTCACAAAACCTGGTTGCAACTTTACAGACTGTAGCCTAAGTAAAACCTTACTATGCCCTGTAATGCTATGTAAGGTACTATGACTGAACCTTAGCTGTAATACAGTGTAAATCAGGAGTGGGCCTGGACTGGATAAGTAAAGCAATGCTTGATACAAGGTGCTCTTCCTGCCTACAATTTTGCACTTGGTTGTGAGTGGGGAAAACCAAGTCCCTCCCTCAAAGTACAGACAAATGCTGGCCATGTTGGTGAGGAAGTGAAATCTCTGTCAAGAAAACTATAGAGTAGCAATACTGCAAGCTCCAAGCATTAAAAAATCCTGGGTAACACCTTACAAAACATAAGATTAGCTAGAATTAATAAACAGTTTGTTGTAAAATAATACAGTTCAGGTTATTTTTATCTGCTTTCTACCTTTAGAGATTGAGTGTATATTTACAAGCCATTCTCTGCACTAGGAAAGTTAGTGTTCATTTTTTATAAAAAATGTCTCTAAGACCCTTAAAATCATTTGACTATTGGAGCTTGAGCTCTAAGAAAAAAAACTTGGTAAATACTATGAGAATTGCCAACACTAGTATTCTCCTTTAAATAAACAAAGTTAGCCTTACTATTTTATTCCACTAAGAACAATTTTTGAGTGTGGAAGGAGGTGTTGGAGAAATCCCTGAATTGGACTGAAAATTAAAAGACACATTCCAATTGAAACAAGCATCAGCATTGTACCCTTCTTGTGTAAAGCCACAAAGCCAAAGGTCTTGCATGAATAAACATTCCATTGGTACCGATTATGTCTATATACCACGCATTTTGCTAACAAAAATTCCTACTGTTTACGGGAGTTCTTTTATGATTAAATCTCCATCCGACTGCAAAATTTCTCTAAGTATAAACTACATCAAATAATAGATAATTCCCTAATTGTCTCTACAAAATTGGGCATTTTTTATTGGGTAACAGAGAATAAAGTAGAATAAAATAACAATACTTAAAGATTCACAGAATCTGTTCATTATTTTTCTGGTTTATGCAGCAGCATTCAAAACACTGTTTTTAGGGAAAGGCTCAGAAAGACAATAGATTTGTTAGTCACATTATGCTTCTGAGTTGCCATCTTTTATTTCTGATGCTGGAGGTCATATTTCACACTGCTAGTTCTAGATGCCCAGAGGCATGACTATGGCCACATACAAGCATTATTTTTCTACTAGGAGAAACTATGAGCATGAAATAATGCATTCAGTTTCTCCTGGGGGAAACATTCTCCTGGGAGAAAGATTTTCTAGGTGTCAACCTGGGAGATCTCTCTTGCAAGGGTAAATGTTTATCCACTCCCCTCCTGTTCTGGTCCTGGGGAAATGAAGTAGCAGGGCAATGCTGCCCTCTTCCCTAGACCAGGGACTGCCCAATGGAGGGAACAGAAAAGGACCAGAGCAGTTTAGTCCCTAGTCTGAGAAGCAGGTGGGGGGTTTTACTGTGCTGCTTCCTCCACTCAGCTTCCAGCCAGCTCCTTGTTCCCCACCACCTCCTCAGACCAGGGTCCCCTAGCTTTAGGGTAGGGGCTGGAGGTTTTGCCATTCTGTCTCTGGAGTCTGGAAGCAGAACAGAGGAGGCTACTCCCCATCTGTTCTTTAGTCTGGGGAAGGTGCAAGGAGTCTTTCCCTGACACTCCACTCCCTCTGGAGACCAGGAAGAGTACAGCAGCCACCATTCACCATGCCTTCCTCAAATTAAGAGCTGAACACTTGTATACTCTGTCTCAGAAAGATTTCTCCTGGTGGAAATTTCTCAGAAATTAACACCTGTTCGTGGCCTGGATTTTTTTTCTTTGTTTACACAATGTGCTTTATTGGAAGCCTCAAAATCTCCCATCTTTCAGTGCAACAAAAATCAACTCCACACTTAGCTCCTTGAATTTCTTACTAAGCCACAGTTCCTGCACCTGTAGCCAGCTCTACCATCCTCATAAAACATAATGACATTCTTTTAATCTACTGAAGGAGGATCTGATCTAAACACTTTGGTATGTACTATGATATAAAACCAGTGTAGTAGCTTTTTAAGGTCTGTAACAATGAAAGCCTGGATACCAGAGGCCCAAATGATTTTAGAAGATGCATTCTCTTTTAAACTGACACATCAAGACCCTTTCCCCAAGAATTATCTTCATCTCAGTATCTCTTATGATGTGCCTGATTTTAAAACAGCATTATGGAAGACATTTACACTTTAAAAGCATTACTCAGTGCCAGTTACATTTTGCTTTCCATTTTCTATGCAATGGAGTTAATAAGAAATACACACTCTTCATTTCCAAAGTGAGCAACAACAAAATCCACCAGCTTCCCTGTAAAGTTGACAGTCATGGAGATGGCTGGGGCAATCTCTCCCTCAGGGGATGGGAGAAGATGATGAGTAGATCTCACTATTGGGTATCTTGAAAGAACCATAATCCTAAATGGAAATAAAGAGAAAAACTGTTAAATGTCTTAGTTCTAAAACACAATGCATATGGTTTAGAAACAAGCAGACCAAACACACTGATATCTGACCTACTAACACTGGTCTAACACTGCTCTACAGTTAATTAGAGAAGGTAAGTGGAACTGGATAATAGTTAGTATGTATGGATTAATTTTAGCATTTAGAGCTTGAACCAGTTCTTCCAAAGTGAATGAACAGACTCTCTCTTCAATGGACTTTCGATCAGACTCTAAATCTTTAGCACAGCATCTCAGCAAATTTACATCTGCTAGTCCCATGGCACCAGGCTCAGTGCCAAACCATACAAAGCAGATGCAGCACAGAATAAAATAGCTGTATAAATGAGTATATTCAATGTATTTATAAATGTAATAAAATCATTTTAAAAGTTTTTATATAAAAAAAAAAATCAACAAATATCTGAATAAATTATTTCACTGTTTTGTCAGTTAAAACTTTGTTAAAAAATTGCCAGTATAGGTTTTCAATAAGGAAAGAAGATGCAAAGGATGTACTGTCAGGCACTGAGCACCCCAGGAAAATGCAAAAATAAGATCACTGTGCTATTTATAGCTCCTAATAACATAGCCCTTCCAGACAAAGTACATACTTGTTATGGTGTCCCCGACAGGGTATGGTGCATTTCAGAAAAAGTTTCCAGAAAACCCAGCAGAATTTCATTGACTACCTCACAAGCTACAGAATGGTGGGAGGCAGCTAGGGGAGGGGGGGGGGATATTTTGAAAACTGTTTATACAATAAACCTAAAACTACCCAAGAAGAGTGGCTCAGGGAAGGAGATCTGAACCAAGTAGTTGGTATCCTGCAGGCAAAACAGTACTTCATGCAAACGATCCTTATATAATTTTTTAGTTTATAATATTTACAAGTAAACCACTCCTAAGTGCAAATCTTCTGTTTTTTTCAGCTCCAGTCTAAACATTTTTTCATGTAGTTTTTACTGTCACAAAATATTTTATGAGGTGGTATTTTAGTAGGAAATTTTACCAAGCAATACTCGTCCTTGATCTGCTTGATTCTGCCTCCTTTAAATCAGGGGTGTCAGACCTACAGATGTGGATCATCCAATCTGCCATCCTCACCTGGTACCAGAATGAAGGAATGAATGGGAGCAATAGTTGGCCAATCGTGGGTTTGCACCACTTTATCACCCTCAAACTGCTGTGGGAAGAGGTGTTGGTACAGCACTTACTGAAACCACCCCTGAATTTACCATTCCCCATTGCTGGTGGCGGTAGCACTCGCCTTCAGGAGTGAGCAACAGTGACTGCAATAAGGGCCATGCCAGCACCCGCCTTGCAGTAGGAGGCTGACAAGGGGACACAAATCCACTTTAACCCCTGGCTGCTGGCCATGCTGACATCTCCGTGGCTGCCAAAGCCACAGCAAAAGATGAACCTCTGTCAGCACCATGGGCAGAAACCACTGCAGTCAGAGTAGGTGCAACACCTGCAAAGCAGGGAATTTGATCCACAAACTATTTTGAGTTTGATACCCGTGCTTTAAATCTTAAGACTCTGGCAGAATCTTCTAGCCAGGTGTTGTTGACAAGCTTCATATGTCATTGAAAACCCTAAATCCTCCTGGAATTTCAAAACAAACCAATATCCCAAGACAGGGATTTCCAACTTCTTAGTGGCCAGGGGCTGCACACTGTGGGGGTCCATGGGCCTCCCCCACCTCTCCAGATGCAGGCTCCCCATTGCATCACATGGCAAGCTACCCAGGCACTGCATGCGTGGCAGGAATCCCCCCCAACACTGCATGTCGCGGGGCGCTTCCGTGCCCCACTCCTAAAGAGGCTCAACCCCGGGGGGGGAAGGTGTGTAGCAGGACAATAGGGTGCCTGCTGCTAGCATGGGCAATAAGGTTTGGCTGCCAATCAGTAGGGCAGCACAGTTGAAGGTTGCTTAGGCAACAGAGTGGGTCAGCTGACCGCCAGGGGGCAGGGTCTGGCCTTTATCAACAGAGAAGGCTGAGGCCAGAGTCAGTCCCCCTCTGGCAGCCGGAACAACAGGAGGCTCTGCTGTAGGGCTGAGCCAAGCAGAGCAGCCCGACCACCCGAACATCGGCATTATGGTACGCAGGGGAGAGAGCCCCGACTGGGAGACGGAGAGTAGCCAGGGAGGCACTTAATGGAGGGTATAGCCAGTTGGCTCATGGCTTGTGTTTGGTTTATGTAGGACCAGCCAGGAGGCTTATCTAAGTTATAGCCGGTAGGCTGATTTTTGTGTTGCAGCCGGTGGGCTCAGGGCTTTAAGTTTTCTTTGTGTTAGTTGGGTAAACACACCGGAGGACCGGGTGAGGCTGTAGGGGTGTGAGGAGGCCTCACAGGAGATCTCCAGTAGTCTGGGGGGGTTTCCTGGGTGCCCTGTTCGGGCACGGAGCAGTGCTGGGGAGGCACAGCTGGTTTGGCGCCGGTGTGGCGCAGTGTGTGGGGGTTGAGATCCCAGCCCGTGAAGGCGGCATTCAGCCCAGTAGGGTGAAGGACCCAAAGAAGGGTCAAGGGACCAGGCACGGCTACGGGCCACCTGAGCCCCGGTGCGAGAAGCGTGGGCATAGGCCCCAGCGAGGGCGAGGGCCCCAGCGAGGGCGAGCGCGAGAAGCGTGACTGGAGGCCCGGAGTGGGGCGAGCGCACGGGTGGAGGCCCAGGGCCAGGCTGGTGCATGCGATCTAGCCCGAAGAAGGGCAAGCACACGAGTAGGCCCCAGAGAAGGGCGAGGGCACGGTTTAGCCCGGAACAAGCCCCAGAGAAGGGCGAGGGCGCGGTTTAGCACGGCACAAGCCCCAGAGAAGGGCAAGGGCGCAAGAAGCGTGGGACAAGCCCTGAGAAGGACGAGGGCACGAGAAGCGCAGACATAGGCCCCAGAGAAGGGCAAGGGCGCGAGAAGCGCGGACATAGGCCCCAGAGAAGGGCGAGGGCGTGAGAAGCGCGATTAAAAGGCCTGGAGTAGGGCAAGCGCGTGGGTGGAGGCCCAAGGCGGGCCAACGCGTACAATAGGGCCTGAAGAAGGGTGAACCCACGAGTAGGCTCCAGAGAGGGGCGAGGGCTAACGAACACAGGGGCTCTAGAGCAAGCAACGGCACATATATCGGAGAGGCCCCGGTGAAGGCGTGTATATTGGAGACACAAGAACGTCCGGAATAGCTGCGAGGCTTGGGGCGTGCTGAAGGGGAGGTAGGAGGCACGCATAGCCCATAAGGCTGGGGGTGCACCAGGTCACCCATAGAGATTAGGAGACCAAAGGCAGCCTCCCATATTAAATTATATAAGATCAAAGACGTGGC